CACCGTCCTGTAAGTTTTGCTAGAAGAACAAAATTATTTGCTAGCGAGAAAGCCGAGCCATCTTTGCTCAGTGTCTCACTTCTCAGAAAGTAAAATATAAGACAAAAACGATTCGCGAAGATAGTAACCAAAAAAACATTTACTTATTATTGCTTTCGCCAACACAAGATGCAGTTTGTTTCGCCAACACAAGAGTCTTCGAGTTTATCACCAGGAAACACCATTATGCTACAGATTGGGCCTGATAAAATCATGGAAAAATTTGAATGCCAATCAAAATTTTAAATTTTCCAGCTTCCGAACTTCTGAAATTAATTTTCTGCAGATACAAGGGAAACTGTAAAAGTATGTGTGATTGCCGAAAAACACTCCTAGCGGAGATTGGAAATCATCATGCCATTGCGACTTTGTTAGCACCGCGCCTAAAAAGTTCAATCGAACTACACCCAAACCATTCACGTAGATTACGAAGCCACGATATTTTTCTTCTTCCCACACTTCTTTTGCCCTTAATTTTGCCCTGCATGATGTTTCTTAAAAGTTCGTACTTTTTACCTCTCACAATGTGCCCCAAGTATTCCATCTTTGTAGTTTTTATCTCATTTAGAATTTCGCATCTTTTGTCTAAAGTTTTCAGTACTTGCGTGTTAGTGACGCGGTCCATCCATGATATTCTGAGAATGCGCCTATAGCACCACATCTCGAAAGCTTCGATGTTTTTTATGGTCAACTGTTTTAGTGTCCAAGCCTCAATTCCATATAACAGGGTAGAAAAGACATAACACCACAACATTCGTATTCGTAACTTTATATTGATAATCCCGTAGTAGCATCATGGAAATATTAAATTTAATTAAAAAATTGAAATTGGACGAGGTATCGATTTATAGATTCCAAAACTTTATTTTGTAAAATAGTTAGGAAGACAAATTAAAACTGTTCCATTTTAATTTTTAAATCATTAGTTGTCACTCTCGTCACGATCTCTGGTAGTTAATATAATTTTAGACAGTGTTTTTAAAATTGTCATGTAGTTCTGCTTTACACCAAGTACAGTTTCAAATCTGGATGATCACCTAGTCACTGATAACGTTTTTAGAGTACGCGATTTTGGTTAGAAGTTTTTCTGCATTGTTAGCAAACGATCACATCTTTTAATGCTTTTAACTATAGTCAAAAGCTAAACCCTCTTTGTAAAAGGTTACCTATTCACTAGAAAGACATATACATGGATAATTTATTCACCCACCGACAGCCGCGCCGTTCAAAATACACACAAAATCACATTTGAAATTACCCTGTCATTTTTACACATAAAGAAAATGTTTTTGTAACATACTGTAGTAGTAAAACACTTGTTTAAATAAGTCAAAATAAAGATTTATTGTGCATTTTTACATCTGGTGATTATGAATTTCGTAGCAGTTTTCCCAATCGAAGAAAAAATATTTCAACTCATCTTATGAGTATAAGTTATATAGTTATAGAGACAAAAATATTTGATGCAGCAATATTAAGGCTGTTTTATCGGTGCACCAAAATCTAGGGACTGTTATTTACCGACAAAATGTCTCGAAATTTGGACGCAATATTCGGAATTATGTTGCTTTTAAAATTATGGTTTTACTTTTTTTATTTTTTGAAACTTCTGCTGAAAAACTGGATTATACTGTTTAACATTCTATTAGAACCAAACTTATTACGCCCATCACTTGAAAGAGTTTTTTTTCTGTAATCGTTGATTTTTTTTCAACTTTCTGTGTCCAGTAATAATCGAGAAAAGCGTGTTCCAACTTTAAAGAAAATTGCAAAAAAGTACTAAAATCTAAAAGTGAAACGTGTTACTCATCATTGTCGCTTAGTTTCACCGTTATCGCCTTCGTGACGTCAAATCTTATAAACGTACGGTCAGTTAGTTCGTGTTAAAACTAATTTGAATGGAGGGTAATGCATATCTTGTCATTAAACTAGCCGTCGGCTGCGCCACTGAGTAAAGATAGTCTCGCGTAAGCAGTGTAGAAAAGTAAGTGATACGCTCATTTGGAGTGTGCTTGAACGGCTAAAACAGCCTTAATATATAGTAATAAGCGTGAATGTAAAACAAATATTTTTATTTTGGGACGCCATTGGTCAACGAAAACAATATCTGTTTTAGTAATTTTTCGCCCCTTAATCGGAATTTAAATGCATATATTGTATTTGTCTTAATTGGCTTAATTGATACTCCGTCAAATCATCATAATTATCAAGCATTGTGTATTCGTTCAAAATAAGTAATTCGTTTGGAGGCAGCATACACAAGGCAAAAGCGACTTCACTAATGATGAATGCAATTGTGTATTTAATTGATTTTAATTTGTTTGCAGAATAGTAAACAGAAATTTATGATTGCATTATTTCTTCTTTTATTTTCTTTTGCGTTTATGATCGCAATTGATTCCTAACTTTTTCCTCAAAAGTCTTTAGCAGGTATTGACTTCATATATCAACAAGTAGTCACAAAATGAATAAACAGTCGATTATAGTCCGAGAGCCTATGAGAGAAAAAGTAGACATATCTGGAGTTTCAGAAACCCACCCCACCCCAAATATTTATTTTGGAATCCATTAAAACTGGTTAAAAAGGCGGTGGAATACTGGTACAGAAGAACCTGGCAAAATGTGTATATAAATACCTTACAATAAATGACCTCCTAATTAAAATTACTCTCGATGGACAGCCAACAAAGATCCATGTACTACAAGTGTATATGCCAACATGGGAGGGAACAGATGAAGAAGTGGAAGAGAAACATCGCCAAAAAAAGAACCAGTCATAATATTGGGTGACTGGAACGCAAAAATAGGCAAAACAACAACAGAAGATCTGCTAAAAGGAACAGTTGGTGGGTTTGGAATAGGTGAACGAAATGAAGAATAGAAGAATATATGATAAATGTGAGTCAAACTAGAGAAGCAATTTTCGCTCTCCAGGTGCTTATACAGCCGTGTAGAGACAAACAAAATCAATAAACTAACAACTTTATCAGATGAACAATAAGGAAACAGATCAGGCTGATCCTGCGTAGACGCCGTATTTGTACTAAAACAAATCACAAAAAAGGTCTCGAGTACAATAAACCAGCATATCTATGTTTTATAGACCTGACAAAGGCTTTCGATCGCATCCAAGTCGAAGACGTCTTACACCTACTGTATAAAAGAAACATACCAATAAATAATATACAAACCATCGAAACCGTCTACCTCCATAATCGAATACAGGCAAAGATAAATGAAAAACTAACACAGTGGATAGAATAGTACGAATAGCACGAGAGAAGTCACCAAATGGACGAAGAAGTATTGGCAGACCAAAAAAAAAGATGGTGCGACAATTTGAACAATTTAGGAGGCTAATATTGAAGAACAAACAGGCTTTAAAGGCCTACATACTAGAAGAAAGAAGAAGATCAATGTCTTCTAGATCAGAAACTTTCTAATCTAATCTCGCGGCAAATAAACCACATTAAGTGAGTCAGCATTTTCACAATATGAGTCTTTTAACAAAGCTATTAACTCTTTAGAAGTTTGTACCATCTTCATTTCATATTTCGAGAATTTACTGAAATAAACAACTGCACTACTATATAAACGCATTCACATGATAATAGTTTAGCTTACTTCATTTTAATTTATATGAACTTCATAATATATTTTCATATTTATATAAACGAATAAACACAAAGAAACTTTCAAATTAAGTTAAAAAAAACCAATATCATAGCAATTCTATAAATAGAGAATGATGTGTAATTAAAATTGCAGATTGTGTTTAGTCTAGTGAAAAAAAGCATTTTCCAAAGTTTTCTGTTTTTTGAAGTTCTGTATTAGATACTCTCTAATAAGAATAAAATTTTACTTTATTTTGTTAGACAACTATAAGATACCTGTTAAAAGAGACATGATAATTTAATAGTTAAATCGGTCTTTGATTTAATTTTTACGTAATTACTTATGTGTTTAAATAAATAATTAAAATTTTTTTTGGTACGCCTCTGCAAAATTGATTATTTTGAATACGATTTCGTTGAAAAGTTATCGTTAAGGACTTCGTTAAGTACGATTTTGCCAAGTAATCACCTTCAATTAAAAATTGTTTTAGTATAGAATCGTTTTCTTTGTAATTGTAAACTAAAGGCATTAATAGAAGAAATTCCATTTAAGTAATTGCAAGATTATTGCATGGCAGTCACTGCTATTTCAGCAATCATTCAAACATTTATTTAATACTAAAATATACATAAATAGGTATTGGTAATATATTAAAATTGAATTATATAATTCCCGTTCTTCCCGCTCTTTGTAAGATTTAATCCAAATAGCGACACTGGTTATTTTCGGCATTTTAAAATCAAAATACTGACGATGCTTGTGTACCCCACGCAATACACAAAAAGTACCTGTGGGGCATAGGCACATACAATGTTTACGTTGGTATTGTCTGTAGTCAATTGGATACTCACTATTATATCACTTCTTCTGGATACCCTTATAAGATGTTCCTTCCACTCTTTGTTCCAAATAGTACTTACTCCATTTCTGCCATGACTGTTCGAATTACTGTATATTAACTTGCATGTATTTCCAAGATCTCTCGACTTATGAGTTTGCTGCACACAAAGTACACCAATTTTTCTCCTGTTCATGAAACTGGCGAGCTCTTTTCCTTTACCTGTCATGCTGTCGACGTTGAGAGTTGCAATTCTCGTTCCACAGTATTGAATTCAATTCTAACACCTAAATACTGGTATTCTGACGTGTGTTGAATAATTGTGCCATTATTTAATTGTAAGTTCTGCCGGTGTGATCTGATTACCATGTACCTATTGACCTGTTTCCATGTTTATTTCTAAATTTAAAATATATCATTTTTCATTATAAAATCATGGATGTTTCATTGCCTTTCCAAACACATTTTCCTTTTGATCTGTATTACTAATACTTACATTTTGTTTCAGGTTAAAATACAAAAGAGATAATGGAGGAAGTTAAGAAACATCGAATAGAAAAGAAACCACATCCATTGAAGAGAATTAATTTATTTTCACAAATATTTTTCTGGTAAGTGCTAAGTTGTAGCCGTCAATTGCAAGAAAATCATATTTATCCAATTTTTATTGTTACATTTAAATTATTTAAACTATTAATGTTCAATTACCTTCTAATCTAACACATCTTTTAGAGTCAAAGAATCTAGATGTATATAAAATTTTATATAGTCATATTAATTGCTTAAAATTAAAGCTCTGACAAAAAAAAGATAAAAAAATAATAAGGAATAAAAAAACAATGAAAAACAAAATAAAAAAAAATAAATACAATAAAAAAAAAGTTACTAAGAAGATCTAAACCTCCGAGGTGTCGAATCGGGTTTATGTCTTAGCGTAGTAACTAAAAAACTAAATAAAAAAAATAAATAAAAAAAAAATTTAACAAAAATTAAAAAAAGTAAAAAAAAAATAAAAAATAAAAAAAAAGATACAAAAAACAAAACAGCAAAAACAGAGTAAACTAGTAAGTAAGTTTCTAACATTCTATGTTTTAACATGTCTTACAATACAATAGTTTTAAATGTAAATACTAACAGTATCTTGTGTAAAGAGAGAACTCAAAACAAATTGACTGGCCAGTTGGTTGTCAAAACCAGTGCCAATAAAACAAAAACACATACACACATTTAAACTACTAATAGAGAAAATATTTTAGGAATGTGCTAAAATTATAAAATTACTACTGTTATTAGTCACGAACATAACTATGGGATATCAGTATTTATATTAAGACAATATTATGAATCGATATTTCTTCTTCTTAGAGTGCCGTCTCCCTACGGAGGTTGGCAATCATAATGGCTATTTTTATTTTAGAACTTGCTGCTCTAAACAAATCAATCGATCTGCATTGATACCAATCACGTAGATTCTTTAACCATGAGTTCTGCCTTCGGCCAACAGATCTTCTGTCTTAAATCTTTCCCTGTATTATGAGTCTCAAAATTTCATATTTTGGTCCCCTCATCACGTGGCCTAGGTATTTTAGTTTTCTGGTTTGTATAGTGGTGATTAGTTCTGTTTCTTTACCAACCCTCTCTAGTACTTCTTTATTTGTAATTCTATCAGTCCATGATATTTTCAATAATCTGCGGTATAACCAGAGTTCGAAGGCCTCGATTCTTTTTAAATTACATTTTTTTTAATGTCCAAGTCTCAGCTCCATATAATAATATTAAAAATATATAACAGCGAATGGTACGTAGTCTGATCACCAAATTTAGATTTTTGCACGTTAGGAGTGGCTTCATTCGTATAAATGCTGATCTGGCAATCTCTATTCGCCTGTTTATTTCTACAATATGATCATTGGTTTTATTGATCAAAGTTCCCAAGTAGGTACTGATATTTTTCTACTTGTTCGATCACGTTACCATTGATTGTCAATAGGTGATGTATATTTTGTGGTCTTTTTGTAATTAGCATGTACTTCGTTTCTTTAGCGTTTATAATAATTCCCATCTCAGCACTATTCATACTCAAGCTTTCGATAAGATGTTGTAGATCCTCTACACTCGTTGCTATGATCACAGTCTCGTCTACATATCTTAAGTTGTTAATTAATTTTTCGTTAACGGTGACTCTCGCTTCGATATTATTGAGCATGTTTTGGAAAATTTCTTCAGAATATAAGTTAAATAAAAGTTGATGGATTCGACCGTCGATGGAAATTCAGTTTATGTAACAATAAAACACTGAAAAGTTTGTTTTCAAACTTCCACACAATTTATTTTAACTTCTTATCACTACAGCTGTTTCGGCTGATTGCCTTTCTCAAGTGATCTATTTTTGGCATGCGTTTACACTTTATAGTCTCTTATGAAATAGGTTGAGGAGGGGAGAACTGTTTGTCTCAAGTTCTCCTGAATTCTGAATGACCAACTTGAGATAAAACAGTTCTCCCTTCCTCAACCTATTTCATTAGAGACTATAAAGTAAACGCGTGCCAAAAATAGATCACTGGAGAAAGGCAATCAGCCGAAACAGCTGTAGTGATAAGAAGTTAAAATAAATTTTGTGGAAGTTTGAAAACAAAGTTTTCAGTGTTTTATTGTTACATTCAACAAAAGTGGTGATAAAACCCATCCCTGTCTAACTCCTCTACAGATCCTCATTTCTTCTGAGTGTTGCTTATCAATTTGAAGTATGGCACTTTTGTTCCAATATAATGTTTGCACTAAGTATTGATAACTTTGTATTGTTCATAAGTATTGATATTAGTTTTTCATGTCTTACTTTATCGAAAGCTTTTTTGTAGTCAACGAAGCACAAGTATAGATCAACATTTACATCCCGACATCGCTGAATCAATATATTGATGGCAAATAGTCCTTCTCGAGCACCCATTCCATTTCGGAACCCGAACTGCGTCTCGCTAATATCCTCCTCTAGCCTTTCGTATATTCTCTTATGTATTATTTTTAGCAAAACTTTTAAAGTATGACTCATGAGGCTCAGTGTTCGATAATCAGAGCACTCTTTTGCTGCTTGTTTTTTAGAAATGGTTATAAATGCTGCCTTCAATCAGTCTTGTCGTATTATTCCCGTATCGTACACCGTGTTGAATAAATCTGCTAATACTTCCAAGCTATCCTCTTCCACTAGTTTTAACAATTCTACTGGTATTTTATATAATCCAGCTGCCTTATTGTCTTTAGAGTTTTTGATAGCATATTTGACTTCATCTATCGTGATCTTCTGTCCCTCTAGAGGATTTAATTCTTGTGCATTTCTGCATTTCACCTCTTTCATTTTGAAAAAGTTCTCTAACGTACTCCTCCTATCGCCTTAACTTCTTTGGTAAATCTATTAATAGTACTCCTTTTTTGTTTTTTATGTGTCCTTGCTGTCTATTTCGACCCATTTCAGTCACAATTTTTTTTGTGCATATTTCTCATATCATATTTTGTTTCTAGTTCTTCTATCTCTTTACATTGCTTCACCAAATAGATTTCCGTAGCTGTTTTGATTTTTTCCCTAATTATTCGTTGTATTTCTTTATACTTCTGTAGATCATTTCCTTCTTTCTTCCATCAGTAATAGTATTTCTTCTGTCATCCAGTGTTTTTTAGCCTCTGACCTATATTGTATTAAACTTTCTTGAGCTGGTTTCAGTAATGTGTTTTTTATATTATATTTATCTGCGTTAAATTATTTTGACTGAGTACAATATTCTTTGTAAAACGTCTTCTTATAGAACCAAGCTTAAAGAAATAAGCTTTTTTTGGCCAGGCCAACGACAGTTGTTTTGAGAAGTATGTACCTCTATACCAATAACCTGCAGTTTCCCTGTTATCTGTATTCGAATTTTTGGAATTAATTAGTTATTAACACATTAAGGCCAAAGACGGTCGATTTTCGCTTTTTTCGTCCATCAGCAAAAAGTAAAGCATTTGAATCAAATTTGAGAATAAGAAACTTATAAGTTATATAAAAACCTTCAAAATGGCGCTCTTAAAATGTTCCTATTGTTATATTTTTATTCTATTTCTAATTTATTGTCTTTAATCTAATTCATTGTCTGTATTCTAATTTATTAAAACTCACGATAATTTATTATCGATTTATTAAATAAAAACTGTACAATTATTTTATTACGTTTCGTACATCTAAACCGCGTTTCGCGAGCTTTTAATTTATCTTCTTACTAACTAACTGTCCGCTCAATAACATGTATTTAAATATAAAATGCCGTTATCTTGAAAAGTCTGGAGAGGCACCGATGACTCATTCAGTAGGTCTCGAAAAGTCAGTCGCATTCTGGTAAATTCGGAGGGTTACCGCCGACGGCATTCTAGTTACCTGGTTTCTTTTAGTCGAGGGTAGACCCCATTGACCTGAATCGCATTGAAGGTTCGATTTGTTGTTTTTTTTCATAGCTTCCGTCTCAGGTAGATTTGACCTAGAAATTACGAGAATAAATAAACAATATTTACGGTTTTTAATATGACTCGAATCTTTTACGTAACACTATCTTTATTAGTGGCTTAAAAACTTACAAAATAATTTAAAAATTTCGGTTATTTATAAATGTTAAAAATAAACTTATAACCTGTATATTGTATATAATGTATGGTCTTGTGGTACTTTTAAGTATGATTAAAATTTCAAATCGATCGGTCAAATAGTTTAAAAGCGATTTAATTTGTTTATTCCAAATAAATTTTCTTTTGCAACAATATAAGTAGGAAAATTATGTAATTATAGTAACTATACGGGTAACTTCTGAAAGAAGAAGATTTATTCTATTAATATTATTTAAAAAAAAAAATAAATAAAGAAAAATAATTTTGTAAAAACATGCCGATTTTATGCTTATAAACCATTAAAATAACTTTTAAACCATTGCGTGCAAGAAAATTAAAATTATTTTATTTTTATTTTATATTTTTAAAAGAAAAAGGCTTACATGTCAAGATTCAAAAGAATAAGAAGCTCCAATTACACTCTCATATAGGTTGCAGCCACTTCCACAGAAACTCCGTAAATGATACGAATAAAAATCCACCAATCTCAAAACCCCCTCCAATTTGTATATATGACGTGTATGACTATAGCAAAATAATAGATAATTCAGCTCAAATAGTAGAAGTAGAAACTTAATTTACTAAAGCCTTAATAAACAACACAATAAAACTTTTATGAAATACACCTGAATCCTACAGAACATTAATACATCATGTACGAGAGGAAAAAATCGTCCATCATACATACCAACCTATAGGAGAGAGAGCACACAGATCAGTTATTCGAAATCTATATCACTTATCACTTATATAATTAATATCTATAATATCTATAATAATAAATATCTATAATAAATAAATAATCTATATCACTTATATCACAACGTAACAAATGTCAGACACAGATTGAGCCGTGAACCATTACCATTATTTTTTGTGGACCTCGAGCCCCAAATGAACAACAAAGAAATATTTGAACTACAGTATATACAACATTGTAAAATAACGGTAGAACCACCCAGATTTAAAAGAATTATACCACAAT